AAAAAAAAAAAGGTGCAACTCTGAAGTTTATGTACTATTTCTGTAATTTTTTATAAAGACCTTTGGGTATTAGTAAACAGTCAGACAGACATACAGACACAACGGCACACAGATATGCAGACACATAGACACACATTTATCACAACATCAGTTCTTTTTTTTTTGGCAAAACTCCACAACAACATCACGGGCGGATCCGTCGGGAGCAGCAATTGTTGGGAAGCCGAATCAGTAGTGATAACTGTCCAGTCAAATTTCAGCATTTCTTTTTTATTTCCACTCTCCAATTACCTATAATTTCTTGTGTTATACAATATCTTATATAATACAGCTTGATAGCGGTAATTTTGAAGAAGATTTGACTGAGAACTGTTCAACAGTATAGTTAGCTGTGAAGTTATGTACCCCAGCTGTTCAAGAACTGCCAATCATTAAAAATAATAATAAGTAAAAGAATTTCCTACCAGTTCTATTTAATGCATACAAGTGAAGAGTATCAAAAGAACAGTATAAGAAATAAGAAGGAAAAGTGAAGTCAGCTTGTTACCGATACCAGTTCTATTAAAAAGTTGTGTATTTCTAGCTGCAAGAAACGTTCAGATATTTTCACTGTCGTGTAATTTTTTGTTGCAGAATAAAATTTGAGGTCCAAAAAGTTAGTTTCAGTTCAAGTGCTCAAATAAGGCTAGCGCAAGGAAACTATGGCTGTTTATTTGTAAATGCATAACCGTTGAAGTTATTTACCATGGCTACAATTTCTAGAAAGTTTATAACTCTAAAGTGTTGCTTAAAAAAAAAATAAAATCTACTTCGCAAAAACTCATATTCATTTGTGCATATTACTCTTAGAGATGTTTGCCACTTAGAAGAAAAAGACGAGTTTAACTGATTGACACAGGTAAGCATTAGTTACTTTTGATTGTTCAACGTTCGTTGCATTATAAAAAAAAAAAAATAGCGTTTTTTCTTTATTTTTTGTGATAATGAAACAGTGCATTAATTTACAATAACGGCCAAAGTGATTAGAGCTTTCATGGAAAAGCAAAAGTACAAGTCTGTAAGCATATAGATAAAAATCAAATCATGATTAAGGATTTGAACAATTCTTTTTTTATATCTATGTTCTGTCATTTTACTCATTATTCTTTCTCATCTAAGTGACTTTTGCTTCATTAGCACCAACAGTCATAAATTGATCAGTGAACAGTTCCGGTACAGTATCATCTACTGCTTTTCAAGTTCGTTCTTTGCATTTGTATTCAGGTAAACGGTGTAAACAACGTGCTTTTGGATCGACTTTTTTTAAAGCAAAACTCAGCCATTTATTCTGACTGATTCACCCATTAATTTTGAATTTACAAGTGGGTAATCATTGAAATTTACATTGGTTAAAATTGCTTGCAGAAAGCAGAGAACTGACAAATTGAGTACATTAAGAAACGCTACGAATTAGGCTCAACATTAATGGAGGAACAGTAACGAAGGTTGGGTCAGTCAGAAATAACCTATGAACAATTTTGACTCTATGTGTAGATTTATATGATATAACAACCTGAAAGCAGTGTTGCGTTTTTTCTTTTGAGTGCACTTGGATGTGGTTTGGCCGTAAGCTATGCTTATAGGAAGTGGTTGCCAACAGAAGAGTCCAGAAGGTTCTTTCATTTACTTTTTGCTACTTGCACAAGAGTCGAATCAAGTATACAAAGCATATATGCT